TTCAGAACGATCATCAAATCATAATTAAAATCTTTGCGGGGATATTAAGCTTTCATAACCAAGGGCAATACCACTGCGGTGATAACAAGATTTTATAACACAACTATGGGAAGACGGACGGACATGGTGATAACAATATACAACCACGTGAAAATGTGGGCGTTAATAAGTCCCTTAGATCATTCTGAGCGTGATATTTGATGTTCGTTTTATTTAATTCCTAATGGGTGGCACACTACGTATATACATCTTCCAATAACTGTAAACAAATTGGTTAGTTCTCTAGCTATCAACTTTGGTATTTAAAAAAAAAAAAAATGTGTCAGAACCATTTGCCTGAACTTAAATTTTAGTCTTCCCTGTGGGAGGTCGTGTAATCAGTGCGATTAATTTATGATTCCGCCATGAATTGTGTCTTTGACACCCAGTTTAATTGAGACTTTGACTAAAAATAATTTCTTGTATTAGGCCATCGACCTAAAATCATCTTTGCAGTTTGTCCACTTTATAGCAATTAAACATTGATATCCGAGTAACACCACCATATATAGGATTCTTCCGGTTTTAATTCTAAATTTGTGCTGACCCCCGTGCTTACAAAATTAAGTTTATATTTTGTTTGGTAGATAAAAAAAAAACCCACTTTATTGCGGTTATAACTAATATCCATTGGTATAGAAGTCGTGATCATTCGGGGTTCGTCAGATTTGTTTCACAACAAATTATTTAAATAAGAACCAAGGACCTTATTGTAAGGTCCATGTAAGAACCTACCTTATTTGTGACACCAAATGGATTAGTTTGTGTTTAAGTGGAATTTAAGACTTTTAGTTTTAACCATTAATAAAAAATTTACGTTAAGCCCCTTTTTGTTTGGGAACAATTAATTAGTTTCGATAATCTTTTACGTATGTTTAATATCAGTTGTAAAGTGAATTTAATGACTGTCTCGCGATTTGGCCTTGAGATTAAACGATACAAATAATCGTAACCAATAAAAACCTATGTTTAATTGTTCATTCTGAATCTGTGTGACATAATGTCAAAGAAGAATTCGAGTTAGAGACATGGATCTATTTACTATGAAAATTCAGTTTATATATACGAAGTAACGGGTGTCGTGTACACGGGTAGGACACTTGTCAGTGATGCAGGACGAAGGGCCTGACAAGGACAGCTGTCTAGTCGTGCGGATGGGACGAAAAACCGAGGTCCCGTGTACACCTTGGCGTGCACTAAAAAGATCCCTTGGCAGTTGGAATTCGATATAAGAGTAGGCCGTAGTGCCGCTGTCTGGGCAAAATTTCCCTCATTGCACACTGTATGGCGTATGTCCGTCTTCATTAGCCCAGTTTAGGAGCAGAACAGTAGGACGTTAAACCCCATTTCATTACATTTCCAATTGCTAATTTGATAATTATGTGTGCATTAGTATTTATTTAATTTATTCTGGATGACCGTATCGTATGAATTGTTTCCAGTCAATATCAACTAACTGTTTCGTTATCTCGATGCCAGCTTTGGTACTGAAAGACAAATTAAATGTGCCAAAAAGATGTTCCGTTGGCGAATTTGTATTTATTTCATTGAAAAATGATTTGACAGAAAGACCTGTACGAAATTAGATTGCAATAAATTAATTGGTTTATTGGTTTAATGGTGTATTGAGAACCCTGCATTGTTACGTATGATCGCCATTTCCTGACATGTTGTTAATGTTGTTTCCAAAGAGTAAATATTAAATCAAATGAAATAATTATAAAAGCTTTTACTTTCGTGTCATAGATTAACCCATATGCTATGAACTGTGGAATCGTTGAACGCCATACGTAGCACTGTGCAGTGCAATGCGTCGCTAGTCAGATGTGAAAAGCACAGATGCCAAAAATTTCCCACATCCAACGCGTGACGCATACTCTCTTATCTGCTACTCATTTTATTAGCATTGTGATTGTCTGGTGTTGTCGCTGATTATATTTGTAATTCTCTTCTTTTGGCCACACCTTTTCTGGGTTTTTTTTCTTCTTACTATCGCAATTGTTGTTAAGACGTCTGTCTTTCAGAGAAAAAACAATGCAAAAGTTTGTTTATACATATTATGTCAAGCACTGGATACATAGGTTACGTTACCATACTTAAAATTTACATGTCCTTCTCTCTAATCGAGTTTACTGGCGGAACATACTACATTATATGGCTCTATTACAAATCAATGGGGTCTACTCAATCCAGATGGTATCTCCATCGAACCTACATGATCCTGCTCTCTAAGAATCTAGCGGCTGTCTATAGGACATAAATCAGTCTTATAACATTGACAGTGTGGTGAGACAGCCCTGTCAATTATTTTAATTGGACAAATATTACGTAATTATTGATGATGACTGGTTACTAATCCTAATGACGTTAAGAGAGTGAGAGAGAGAGAGAGAGAGAGAGAGAGAACTAACATGGTTCAATTTTAGTTCAATAATTCGCTTGAGCGTAGGGGACTTTGGCAGCGGGAGGAAGCCGGAGGACCCGAAGAAAACCCACGAGGTTGGACAGGCGACCCTACTCCTTGCCGCGTACAGCCGGGGAATCGAAACCACGCCAGTTGACTCAATGATAGACCTTATGATACATGATACAGCGCGCACGTGCTAACCATTCGGCCATCCCCCCCCCACCCCGACGTTAAGAACCACCCTTATATGGACAGTAGAAACTTTCCACCAGCCATGTAAGACGTGTTATTTTGTTATAAGCCAGAATTAAATGTTTATGAAATTATAACTTTTTTATATATATAAACCTATCACTCATTCAATTTGAGTGTGTGAGATATGGCTTCTCTATAATATGAAACCAATAAATATTCAAAGGCATGGTTAATATAATGCTATTTTTAATTTAAAGGGCAAAAATTCTACCAATCTTACTACCCATAACGTAAGAAGTAAGGGGTCCTATTAATCACCAACAAGAATCGACAGGTGCATTTTATTTTAATAACGCCCAAATTATTGTAAAAAGTGACCGACAATGAAGATACGTTATAGATGGACACGGATCATTTAATAACGCCCAAATTATTGTAGAAAGTGACCGACAATGAAGATATGTTATAGATGGACAGGGATCACCAATTATTCCTACGTTGCCACCGAAACAGTCCCCCCCCCCCTTTTGCGTGGTGATCTTTGTTAACTTTGAGGTGCAGAATCGAAGAAAAGGGTTTGAATATACATTTTCTGTTAGGTTTTGGTGAATATCTACTTCTAGTTTGTGTATCTCAAACTCATAGCTGCTTTTGAACAAGAAGTTTTCACGTGTTGCTCTATCTGTGGTGGAAGGCGTTCAACCCCCTGAAAATTTGAGAAAAAGTAAGAGCCGATCTAAGAGACGAGAATTAACATTTAAGTCAATGAGGAAATAATTGATCTCTTGTCAGATATATATATTCTCCCCGTCATATCCAACATGGCGAAATACCGGCTAGGATGAACTGCAGGTTATCCTGGATAATGTATTATAAAAGTCAGAAACAAATGTGTGATAGGTATGTATGTTGTGTAACGAAGTGGTTTAAATGAACGACTTTAACTAAGATATGCAGGCTGTAAAAGCTCATGCATGTGTCCCCAAATTCATCTATTTTCACAAATAAGCATAAGGACCAAAATACGAAATGATTTTATGACTTCAAGCAAAAAAGCCAAGATCTATAATATGACACCTCTTATCACATCCAAAAATATTTACGTTTGGATAACAATTAATGGAGATATTGCAAGATAAAACTGTTTACACTATTTAATGTATGTAGCCTTACTCAATCAATCAATTTTCTGCACTGGGATATATTTAGACAGATGTTTGGTACAAAATTTCAATTATCGATATTTTTTGTCAATTTGTCATTGAATCATTTAAAATTGGAAATGATGAGTAGAATGTGCATATACATAACATATATATTATTTCACTGTCACTCACTTTTTGGAATACTTTGGGTGCTATAATTGATAAAAGTAAAACTCTTGTTCGCTCTTGTCAATGATTTGTAGGACCGGAAACGGAGATTAAAAGTTACAGGAATCGAAAGCACAGTATATACAACAAAGTTTAATAGGTACGCGGAGTCCCAAAATATTTGATGTACTTTCTGGTGTTCTAGAAATAGTAAGCACAGAGCGGCTAGAGTTTCCGAGGGGCACGAATTAGCAATATACTAAGACTTGTTCTAGAAATGGTACTACAAAATCGAGACTATCTTGCCAAACTTTCAAGTATGAACAACTTTAATCACAATAAAGCAATATAACTGAAATTTTCAATATATTTATTTTCCACTATCTATTTTTGAGCTATTATAGCAAGAACAACCAGCTCTTTATCATAATCTTACATAATGCATCTTGAATATTTATAGCCGTAAAAAAGAAGATTCATACTATCTCCCATTTTTAAAAAAGAGGATATGTTTAATGTTTACTACAACATTTCTTTAGAGCACAAACAAGACATTAGAAAAACAATGGGTGGTTACGTTGTAGTGAAAAATGGCAGTCCCTTCAGTTGAGAAAGACAGCTTTTATAATATGAGAGTTTTTGTCTAAATTATCCTCGATGAATTCTTGCGTTACGCTTCCTTCAATTTATACATAAAAGCACTGTAAAACTATTATAGATTGGTTATTTTATAGTTAACTCCATTAATCCGCTGTCGTGGATTTTTAATGAATAAATTGAATTTCAGAATTCTATTTCGAGATTTTTTATTTATCGTTTAAAATCAACATGACTATTATGGCTATATACGTCTTAAATTGATTCTTAATGGCTACACATTTTTGAATTTATCTCATTTATTCTACAACGTAAGTGAAATAAAATGAAAAATAATGAATTAAAGTTGATGTACTTAACTTCCATGGGAGACTACCAAAATAATATATCAGATATAGGGTTGTGATTCCAATAAATTTTGATATTTTATTTTCTTCTTCTTTTTACAGAATAATAAAGAAATACACGCCAGCAGATATGGAACTTGGTCTTTTATTGGGTTATATTATGTTATTACTGGCAGTCACACGTTGTATAGATGGAAATCATGATGCAGAGATAGACCTTCAATCAGAACTAGATCATATAGAAACATTAGAAAACGAATCAAAAATGGATTTATTAAGAGAAATTCCGCAGTCAGATGACAGCTATAGCGACTTACAAAAACGATCAAAGCTAGACCGCATGCCAGCCATATTTGGTAAAAGAGCAAACAAATTAAACAGAATGCCAGCATATTTTGGAAAAAGAACTCGATTAAATCGAATGCCAGCCGTTTTCGGAAAAAGATCGCGTCTTAATCGAATGCCTGCTGTCTTTGGCAAACGTTCAACCCTTGATCGAATGCCAGCGGTGTTTGGAAAACGATCAAGATTGAATCGAATGCCTGCGGTATTTGGAAAAAGATCAAGATTGAATCGAATGCCAGCTGTGTTTGGTAAAAGGGATAATTTGGTTGACCTTATGCCTGAAGAATTTGAGAAAACAGACACTGGATTGTCGGTGGAATCAGACATGCTTGGACAGAATAAAGCAGTCGCTGATTTATTGTCTATAATTCAAAGGTATGTTTTTAAACCACAATTATCTTTAACGTGAAAGAAGTACAAATTTAGTTTTATTTAACTGGTCAAATAGAGATTCGCAATGGCAACACGGCAATCGAGAATGAGAGAGAGAGGGGGGGATAGAGAGTGTGTGGAGGGGAGGGGGTTTCATCTTAACGGCACCTTAACACAAACCAAGTCATTTAGTTCGCACTGTTGTGCATAAATGCATCCGTCTGTATATCCCTGCAATGTCAAAACAAATTGCACCAGATGCGTTAAATAACTTGCTTAGTCAATGAAACCAATAATGTATTTCGGGTATATAACTAGGTTTGTGGTAGCGCTGCACCCAATTGCATATCAGTTAAGGCAATTTAAAAATTTAAAAAATTGCGTGCTCCTTCTGAGATTCCCAATACACCACTGTGCTGTCAATGGGAGAAATTATGGCAGTGTGAAAACAGTTTTACTTTCCGGGACTAACAAATCCAAAATCATTCATGTCTTTCTGAAAAGCAATATTGGGAACCCAGAAACTCAGACTAGCAGCTAATGAATATTTATTATGGAGCAGGCATAGACGAAAAGATGTGTGTACTATTGTAAGTTCATATGCAAATTCTATAGGTCACCAGATCGAAACGTGCCCACATACACTGCTCTAACTTAATTAAATTCATCTCTTTTGGAAAGAGATAAATACATGTATGGGTTGCGTCCTAGTATATTTTGGCGACCAACATATAGAATAGCGTTCTTTTAACAATTCAATTGAGTCTACGGGTCTTTAACAGTAGAGGGAAACCGGATAACCCAACATCTACATACATTTACGAAGTTTTAAAAGAGTAGTCACCACAGATTTTGCAGGACATTTTATTGATTTAAATATGAAAATCAAAAGTCAACATTTTCACGTACCGAAATATTGAGTCGTTCGGAATTGTTTGCTCGATCGGCTTGCTTTTCTTCGAAAAGAGCTTTAGATACCGAATAAGAACAAAATTTTCAAGATATTTTCATTCTGAATTGACCTGCTTCATTCATTGAAATATATCTCGGATTGCTTCTTGACAATTGACTTTGAGATATTGGTGATGCACAGGGTCCTTTGTTTGTAAATAAATCTCGTACTGCTTCTTGACAATTAACTTTGAGATATTGGGGATGCACACGGTCCTTTGTTTTTAAGCTTGTTTCTTAAATTGAATGTATGTTTGTTTCAGTAATAAAATGACAGTAGAAGAATTATCTGCTATAATGGCTCAAGATATGTATCTGTTGGTACCACTTGTAAGAACATTTATAGATACCAATGGTAAGCTTAATTCACCACTAATTTAACATTTCGTGACATATGTCTTTGACCACTCAACACATTTACTATTTACTTTATAACTTTAAAAATATTGTTTACCGTGCATAGAATGTAGTTAGTAAATGATTCAGTGTTCATTAATTAATTATTAATTAACTAAACCTTGTCAACTTTATTAGTGTAAAAATGGCTTTAAAATCAGTTTTCTGCACTTATTTGTGACTTAACACCCCAAATTCTAGAATTATTAACCCCATTTATAGATAACACACCATTTGTCTTCAGAAATGTCGAGACAGATCCGATTGCATTAAATATTTCACCCTTAAAAGTCATCTGTTAAATGATGAGCAGTATCCATCTCGAGATCGATAGATGAATGGCTGCTCCTTTAACTAGATTTCGCTTGCTATTCCTCTGTTATCTTGGAGTTGGCTTATTTCATTTTATACTTATAGACCTCACACCCCCACACTCCCCAAACAAAACACACACAACAATATATTACCTCTGTTTTTCAACATGATGCTAATCATATTCGATTATATGGGCTAATCATTATAATGGGCGCGGTCTATCTCGTTCCCAGTGGCCAGTTTTATTTTATGGGACGTGTAGGAGTGTCCGTCCTTGGAGTGATATAATGTAACAGTTAGCAAATAATGAACTTTTGTAAGATTTATTAGAATGTGATATTGTAGAACCAATTCAAATCGATCATATTGGCAGGTCATTTCAATTGTTCTTCGATGGATAAGCTGCCTTACTGTACCTTTTCCAGAGGCCGTGTTAATTTAAGTCAGTGCCATTGAGGCGACAATGGCCACCGTGTTGCCGCCATTGTGTCTTTATGCAGATCATTTGCCGAAACAGTAAGTGTTGATACTACACGTTTCCTGGATTCTGAATAACGTTGGCTCTTTATTACGAACAAGAATCGGTGTAAAATGCGCCAAAATGTTAGAATGTCCACATCTCATTAATATATAATAGAAACAATACTATAATAATCTGGAATCGATTTCTGTATTATTATTACATTACAAACACGTACATGCAACTAAAGATGATCATGTGAAATGAATAGAAACCAATTTAACTCACAAAAAACATGCTGGAGTTAATTAGAATGGATATAGTTGAATACTGATTCAGCATGGTAACAAACTATATTTGACTTGAACCGTTTCAGTGGCATTTGGTAATTGGGCTGAACATACACGGGACACAGTTATATGGAATATAATTATTGTTTATATCTGAGTTATGGCTGTAGTTCCCAACTGACTTTTCTTCGCCTCGCAGATCCCTTTTTACATTTTACAAATATTCGAGGACCAGCTCAGCTCAGCAGTATTTACTCTGCTCCATCAGACCTGGGACGTTTTTCACCACCTTTCACATAAATCTTTGATTAAAGCTAACACCGGCCATCTTAATAGCCATCTCGATCAAAAACGCAGTACAGTTTTTAACAAACGATAGCTAGATGAACATCGTTAATGTGACTCTGATATCAGTTGCTGAAATGTCTTCTGTGTATAAATTTGTCTTTCATTTTAACGCGTTGGCGGGGGGGGGGGGGGCGAATGGTTTAACGTGTGCGCGTTAGATCCATTTTTAGTATAAAAATTGTTTATGTAAACTTATGGCAACACACCATGGGCAAATTAAAGATCCTTTTTGGCCTGGCAATGGTTTATCTCCGCGTAACATTTACATAGAAAATACAAATTCCATTTTTGGCATAAAACTGTTTAAGTAAACTTATGCCAAGACCATTCAGTAGATTTTCATTATTTATCTGAAGCCCAGGGCAGAATCTCTTAAAGCTTCTTGTACTTCGAATCATCAGAATGTTGATTGAGTCACTAATCTTTCCCATTGAAGACTTAGAGAGATTTCCTCCCCTTAGATATTTTGTTCAACTTTTCTATCTCAAGGAAATATCTTTTTAATAATCTATCTTTTTTCATTAGAAGTGAATCTAGCTATTGTATACATATAAAGTTAAACAAAGCGGCCATTAATTCTTCGGAGTTCTATAATTGCCTTTCGGTTGTGATTACCAGCAAAGTCCATTACGGACAATCGAAACTCCGTCGGGGTGGCGCTGATGTCAGGATGAGAGAGATTACAAATCAAATGTCCAATAAATTTTGTTTCCCGACACCATTCGTTTTTTCCACTTTACTAATTTAGAAATAACATGTCGCCGTGGAATACTAACTCATTTTTTGCTTTTTACACGTTAATGGTAAAAGAGTAGCTGTTTTATAACTTCCGGTACGAGGAAAAACATTGTGATGCAATTATCTATCAACTGGATGTAAAATCATACGCTTGGCTGCGCATTCTTCCATTTATGCCAATTTACTGCTTTCTGAGTCTCTAATGCGAAGAGAAAACTTGGCCCGAGGTTTCTTTCGTTTTGATACAAACAGAATGCTCTTTAAGATCTACCAACGCAACATCCAATCACAAAGACCAACCCGAAAGTTTTAAAAAGTTTAAAGTAATTATAATGGTGTCTGATAGGCTTTATTAAATAAATTAATAAAAAGTGCATAATGATAGGTTGTTTACACTGGAGATGTATTTCAGTATCTTGTGAATGCGACAGCTTCAAAATGGCATTTGAATATTAACAAGACTTTTAACAAATGATATGAGTTGTGTTAACGATAAGCGAATTTTCATTTATCGTACCAATCTTGGTGATCGTCACAAATTAATACAATTCTCCTATGGTCTTCTTATGTTAATGACGTTACACGCAAAATCGATACGGATATGCGATACGGACCAGGAATTTGCCCTTACCAAAAGTCTCTAATATCGCCAATGGTTAGGCGATATTACAGGTATATTAGTTAGAATGGATCTGTCTCAATTTCAGATCTAATTCTAAATCTATCATAAATAACATGGGCGGAATATATTTTCCCCTGTCTGTCGAAAACATCAGGGGACTATTAAAAGGGGTTCTTCCATTTGTCTGTCTATCTGTCCATGACACTGTTTTGGCCACAATAACTTCTAATTGAAGAGGACTTTTCAAATTGATGTAGTTATTTATTAAGCGAATGTCATGACTAAGTCAATGATGAACATTATTTTTGTAGGCAATACTAAGATTAGTAATTTGATTGGTCTAGAGTTTGGAACGCTATAATGTTTGATTATGCGGGTTACATCAGGCTCACTGTTGGGTTTTTTGTTTCAAATATTTAATGAATCACATATGTTGAAACGATATCTCCTTGGAGATAACGCAACAGATATCGTTTAATCCCAAACAAGCGAAAGCACACATGAAATGAATTATTAAACGATAAAATATTGTTGTTATTAAGTTACCTATACTATAAATTTTTAATATATATTTGCAGGTGATGGGCTTATATCTGTTCAAGAATTGATGTCGATTAAGACGAGGAATCCATAAGTAATAAAAACGACAAACAGTTGCGGAAACTACAACATATTTGACTAACAAAACGAGTTTCATTCAAACAGGACTAAACTATGTTCAACGTGTATCATCTAGTTAGCTTTAAAAGTGATTCTAGACTGTCCCTGATGGCGCATTAGTTTGTAAAGTATAGCACTCGAGTGCTATTATACGCACATTAGCCAAATAACACAGGCTATTAATCTTCATTATTGAGCTGTCTAATTGAATCGACAAACACTTTTTCTGGTTTAACTTTCGAAAAGAGCTGGGTCGTGTTCGATGGAGTGCTAACTTCGCAACGTTTGTGAGATTATTGCAAAAGAAACGTACATCTGGACAATCTGGGTTTAAAATATAGGCTAAATATAATTTTACTCTTTGATATGTTCGTTAATCCGTGGATTAGACAGACAGTTCCCTGTCATTTGTTTATGGCCACTGTTTTGTTATGATAGGCTGTAAGCCCATTATAATGATGATTCTAAATAAGTTGATTTTTTATAGCTCACGTGTTTATTTATTTTAACAGGGTATTTTAATTTAATTCGTGTAAACTTGTTAACTTTTTTTTATAAAAAAAGGGATTTTACCACTTTGATTTGGGTTTTCAAAAAAAAAAACAGTGTCTATTTAGATTAATTCTGGTGTGTTGGCTTGGTTATTAACAAAGTTTTGGTTAGTTCCCTTAGATTGATCACTTAATGATATGATACATTTTAGAGAGTAGAATATGTAAAATCTGTCCGTAATATATCCCCGATGTCATATACTAGATATAAGTGTAATTTTATGATGAGCTATAATAGTTGCAACTTAACACCGTTGTTGTTTCCACTAATTGTTTCACGTGACGTCACAGATACGTACGTGTATATGCGTTCAAATGGTTCACCAGTTCAAGTTCAATTAATCCTGTAATGCTAGGTTCCCACTATCACGATTTGTGCTACGATTGAAATCGTGGTTTTAATCGTGGAGTAATCGTGGTGATCCTATCAGATCTTATCATATATTGATAGTAGTAGTCGTGTTGATCGTATCGAAACGTATCCGAACGTATCTGCCCTTATCGGATCGTGGACTCAATAGGGGCAATCCTATCGTAAAGCATCGTACGACAGTGGGACCCTAGCATAACCTAAATGAACTTCTTTGAAGTATGATTTTTAATTTATGATGTACAATTTGTTTTATCTCAAAAGCCTATTACTGTATAAGGGAGAACTTTTTTCCACCTATATACTTGTGAATATGTTAGTGATATCATTAACCAAGTGTTTATGTTTATTAGGCAATTTAATTTTAAAAAAATACCACTGAGAATCCCACTTTAATATTTAAAGATAAGTGAGTGAGTTATGTCAAAACATCCTGCTACGTGTTTGGACATTAAAATTGACTATTTTCGTAGGCCACAGTGTGTAAACCGAATGGTTTCTATCATAAACAAACAAATTAACTTTGAACCTAAGCTTTTTAAAAAATATATATAAGTAAGAAGTCTGCTAAATGAAAACAGTCTTTAAAATCTTGGGACTTTTAAAACAAACATGTTCGTAGATAAACAAAACAAGTTTCCCTTTTTTAAACAGGGTTGTTTCTTTTTAGCTGTAACGTTATAATCTTTATTTATTAAATTTGTTTCTGATTGTAACGGTATGATAACATATATTCATTAAATATATTTCTGTCTGTAACCGTATATTTTTATTATTCATTCTTTTCTGACTGTAACCGCATAGTCTATGTTCATTAAATTTTATTCTGACTGTAACTGTATCAGACAAATATTTATAAAATAGGCTGTTCAACTTTACTCCAATTCGTAATATTGTTTCTGACTGTAACGGTATAACCTATATTCGTTTTGTTTCTGACTGTAACGTTATAACCTATATTTATTAAATTTGTTTTTGATTGTAACGTTATAATCTATATTCATTAAATTAAGCAGAGCACTGATGGTGGCTTTAATTGAATTGTTTTTCTTCATTTTTAACAATTAGAAAGGGACGGGGGGAAGACATCAAACATAATCAATACTATATTTAATTTGCAATCATATCATGTTAATACCAGTGTTATATTGATTGTTTCTTTTTATTCTTTTGAAGAAAAAAAAAATCTTTGATCTAAGTAATGTTGTCATTTTTACGTCGGCATACTTGAAAGAAAATTGATACATCAAGTAGCAGTTGTAGTATTAATCGTTAAGTGACATTTAGTAAATTAATTAACAGAACCCAATTTATATTGGAACAGCCACTGGTTTATTATATAAGCACGAGGTTTCGACAAGTATCCTTTTGATTAAACAAATGAAATGAAATGAAATGGGGTTTAACGTCCTACTGTTCTGCTCCTGGCTAATGAAGACGGGCATACGCCATACAGTGTGCTATGAGGGAAATTTTGCCCGGGCCGCGGCACTATCGCCTACTCTTATTTCGAATTTCAACTGCCAATGTATACACGGGACCTCGGTTTTTCGTCTCACTCACCCGAAGGACTAGACAGATGTCATTGTCAGTCCCTCCGTCCTGCATTAATGACAAGGGGGGACCATGCCGGAAAATCTGGGTGAACTTTCTCGGCCAATGCAGGGATCGAACACCCGACCTCCAGGCTAGCGAGCCAGCGTCTTACCCACTTAGTCGACAGAATTAAACGTATATAGCAATACTCACTTCGAACCCAAAACCGCTTACTTTTACGGATTACCCTAAGTCCATAGAATTAAACTCATAAAGGATGCCGTAAGACAAAGAAACACCACAGAAAGTACAATATGTCTTGTGAACCCAGATGATTTAAAATTCAGACCTATTGTCCGTGATCCAAATAGTGTCACACAAAGACTGAGGTGGTCGGTCACCTCTGACTTGTGGTCGTGGTTTCGATCCTTGGTGTGGGCGTATGTGGCTTGGCGATAGGTTTACTCCGGGTATTCCGTTTATCTCCCACATGAGAGACTCCTGCGCTATTGAAAAAAAAAGTGATTACAATTGTCTTTGAATTTTCTGGACGTGACAGTTATATTGTTGGATGATGGGCAAATTGAACCTGACCTGTAATATAAATCTACCCATATTCATCAATATCTTGATTTCTTATCCCATCAACCTTTCGGTGTTGGCAGAGAAAGTTCATCGGGATTTTCCGGCTTTGTTTCCCCTTGTCAGTGGTGCAGGACGAAGCGCCTGACAAGGAGAGTTGTCTAGTCGTTCGGATGGGACGAAAAACCGAGGTTCCATATAGACATTGGCGTGCACGTAAAAGATCCCCTTGCAGTTGGAATTCGATATAAGAGTAGACCGTAGCGCCGCTGTCCGGGCAAAATTTCCCTCATAGCACTCTCTATGGCGTATGTTCGTCTTCATCACCCTAGTCGGAGCAGAACAGTAGGATGTTAAACCCCATTTCATTTCATTTGCATGATATTTGCCTATGTTAATACAGAAGTTGAAAGACTAACTGAACTGAAAGCATGTCTTCGACATCAAAATTACCCCGAGAAATTTATTGATCTAGCTTACGAGCGAGTTCTTAATTTAGAGCAACCCAAATTAAGAGAGCCAAAAGACAAATTCACTATACATAACACTTCTCAAGAGGATGTAAAATTTATTGTGCAAAAACATCTTCCCATATCCATATTACTAACAAGTGACAGAATGAGAAATATTATGAACAATTCAAGAATCATAAATAGTCTCAGACAACCATCAAATCTTAGAAAATTATTCTCTTCGTCAAAATTCTCTTGTCATCAACTAACACACGTTGTTACAAAATGTAATAATTGTTTTACTTGTAATGGTATTATTCAAGGGTCCTCATTTCAAATAACTAATACTGGGATATTTACAGTAAAAAAATTAATGAACTGCAAAATCCAAATATATCATTTATTGCGTGATTTGTGCTGGGTGTCGTGAAAAATAGATTGAAAAGTCTATTAAACTATCAAATGAGTCTCCACAGATCCCAGACATCCAATCCGGAAATGTAGTGGCAGTAAATTCGAAGTTTTTCCGATGTATAAACTAAATGGTTTTAATAGGGAACTCTTAGAACGAAAAGAGTCACATTTTATTGAAAAAGTACAAACCCAAACTAAATGTTGAAGAATCATTCATCGTGTAATTATATGTATTAATATCAACGTCATATTCGAAGAGTTATTCCCCTTTATGGCTCTAGTATTGTAACCGTCACTTTCTTTGCTCAACATTTTAATTGTAGAGATAGAAGTACGTTTCCTTTTTCTTTTTTAATATAAGGGAGCCACGCTGGCTCAGTGAGTAAGACGTTAGCATGCTAACCTGTAGGTCTTGTGTTCGATCCCAAACGTATAGTTGTTTGGGTGAGACAAGAAACGGAGGTCCCGTGTCATATTGCGTGTACGTAAAAACTCCCTCGGCAGCTAGAATATGATATTTCCCTCATAGCACACTATATGGCGTAAGCCCGCCTCCATCAAGTTTACTAAGCTGTAGATTACGTTCTCTTAACAGTGGTATAGCTGGTGGTTTCGCGTCTGCTTTGGCGGAAGTGAAGCGCATCAATTAAGGAGCTTGGCTTTTACCCAAACATCGGCTAGCCAGATCTTCTAGGCGGGTGTTAAATCATTTATGCTGAAATTAATTGGTATAGTCTAGTCTACCCTATAAAATGTTAGGGTAATGCATGGTAGCACTCTTCGGCTCTCCTATTTCTTGTCTGCGATATCACTTATGTGGAAGCAGACGTTAAACACCAGGATACTACTACTACATGGTAGCACTGAAGTTTAATCCATAGTTTTTCTGGTGATTTAAAAACAGTAACCAAGACGAGCAGAAAACATGAAGTCCGGTAGCGACCCAATGATATATTGCCAAAGAAATACTTTCTCTGCATCTTGATTAGTAACGCGGAGAAATAAGCAATGCGGTAAGCTGGAAATGAAATGAAATGCGGTTTAACACCCTCCAGTCCTTTTCTTCAGCGTCTGGGCTAATGAAGACGGTCAGAATGCTAAGAGGCAAGTTTTGCCCTGATAACTGTCTCGGGTTCTTTGCGTGCACACTCGACTAAATGTCGACAGGTTCGAATCCCGACATGTGCTGATAAGAAGTTGTCAGGGTTATCATTCGGGTTGGAAGAAGGCGGAAACATCGTTGTCCATAATAAAATTCTTGTCACCAAGTCTGTAAACCTGACTTTTGGAATAGAAATGGATATTAGCCTATAAATGAACGAAGTTTTGCGTTGACGGGAAGCTCCATGCCATTACTTTTCTTCACGCAATAATTCGTGTAATATACCTTTAATGGACATGAGAACTAGTTCGCGTCAATGTGTCCATGTAGCCGAGACAATATATTACTGTATTGAATATATATAAACTGCAGATAAACCTCAAGAGGGAAATAAACCTATATCGATTCCATTTCAAATTAGCAACGCATTTAGATAATCCAGTCATCAAATACAACAAGTTGAACACTGTCTAGAATAAACCCGTAGTTTTTAGCAAGCTTCGTCAAGTTGCGTTCATGGGGATATAGGGAAAGTGAGAAGACAGCGCAAACGGCGATAAAGCCCTGTGTTTTGGTAGTGGAGCATGGCCAGACAATGTATATTTGGTTAATAATCACATCAGGTATTTGTCTCTAATAATACCCTGGGTGACAGCGGATGTAAACACCTCTAAGGAACGGACGTCGCATCAGAAATCTTAGGATAAGAAATATGACAGTATGTTATTTAAGGTTTTAATTAGGTTTTCGATCCAGTTACCTAATATAAATTGTAAAAACATTTAAAATGTGGTTTCCTACTAATTTATGACAAGGGTGTTATTTGTCAATTGCGCCCAAAATATTTTATAGATATACATTTACATATTTTGCACATCATAAATGATATCACAAAAAATTGATATATGTATTAGACTACGGCTCTCTGGCCTTCATGAACTGCGCGCCATTACTCTTAAGGAAGCTTGACACCATCCAATACAAAGCTATTGCGACTGGCGTCGGGCAAGGGACTGGAAGAGAGGCACTACTGTAGGAAGTCGGGGAGTTGCCCCTATCCCTAAGAAGAAAAGAACTAGCGACAAGGTACTGGGCTAAGATCTCGCAACTGGGGGAAAGATCCCCAACATTTGTCAGTCTACAAAATACAAGATATGTGAGAGATCCTAGAAAGAAAAGGTTCGGCCAGGGTATCAGGGAAACAATCAAGGAAATGCGACTGGGGGAGCTCGTGATAAATGAACACGACCACCCAGCGATCGCCCCTTGGACGCTCCCTATACCGCCGATTAATCTAGATCTACTACAGAAAACCGACAAGAAAAACAACCCCACTGCTGCACGTGCTTTCTCTCTAGAACACCTGGAAGACAACTGGCCGTCTGATGACTGGGACCATGTGTAAACTGATGGCTCACGCAATCCTGAAAGGGGCACCAGCTCGTTTGGAATATACCTGCCAAACGGGGAACAGGGAATAAGCAGGAAACTACCCAATAACTGTTCGGTGTACAATGCAGAGCTTGTGGTCATTCGTGACGCTATATCATGGATTTCCCATCAAAAGACTAGTAAGTTTGTCATTCCAAGCGACTCTCTGAGCAGTCTGATTTCAATCCAAAATGACAACTCGGACTCAAGACCAGAAGTCATTTTGGAAATCGGGCAGCTGTACCAGAGGGTTTTAGAGAAGGGAAGCAAAGTAGAACTCGTGTGGATTCCATCACATGTCAACATTAGAGGAAACGAGGAGGCAGATCGACTCGCCAATGAAGGTCTCAAGGACACAGCACCACTCCGCACCATAGACTACAGCACCACGGAAATCTACAGTATGGTCAAAAGACAGGTCATTTCAATCTGGGAATTAAATCTCGTTGAACTTGACACATACAGATTCCGGCTGGATAACAAGATCTACACAAAGACAACACTCAATCATCCTAGAAGAGATATTTGTAGACTTATATCGAAGCTAAGGGTGAAAGAGCGGCTGCGAGACTACAAACACCAAGTCATCATCTGTGATTGCGGAGAAGAATGTACCACCAACCATGTCCTGGTAGACTGCGAGGTATACGAGGAGGAGAGAAGGGAACTAGTGAG